TTCTTAAAAATTTTCTTTACCCTCAAAAGATTTTAATTTGAAATTTTATAAAATTTCAATTTTAAATGAATTTATAATTAAAAATTTTAAAGAACTTAAATTTTTTGAAAAATTGTAATAATTCACAATCTTCTAAAATTAGTTAAATTTGTCAATATAAATATATTTAATTAATAATTTAAAATAATGAATTTATAGAAGAATTTTAGTTAAAAACACTAAAAATAATTGAATTTTAGAGAAGTTACAAATGATTGAAGAAATTAAATTATTTTTAAAAGTAAAAAAATTCTTCTCAGAAATTCAATTATGTTCAAAAATTGAACAAAAACCTCTTCAGAATTTCAATTATTTTTATAAATAATACAATTCTTTTCCAAAATTCAATTATTTTCAAAAATTTTAATAAAATTCTTGTCAAAATTTCAATTATTTTCAAAAATTTCCCTCATTTCAATGATTTTTAATATTTACTATTTTAATAAAATTTCACAAAATAATTCATTTATTTAAAAACAATTTGGATAAAATTGTACGCAAACATTTAATTATTTTCATTTTACAGGAATTCAATTATTTACAAATTTTTTATAAGTATCTTCTCAATAATTCAATTATTTTCAAAAAAAAAAATAAAACTCATGGTAGAATTTCAATTATTTTTAATACAATTTTAATCTAATTTCTCGAAAAATGAAATTATTCTTAAAAATGTTATTGGAATTCGTCAAAAGAATTTTAATTACCTATTTAAGAATTTGTTGATAAACTTTTTTAAATGAGAGTTAAATTTTAAAAAAACATTTAATTCTTCAATAAATTATTTACTTTTGTATTTAAATAATTGAATTCTCATTGAATTTTCTAATACAAATTTATTTAAAAATGTATTTTAGTTAAAATTTTAGATAATAATTAAATATATAAAAATAATTATGAAGAAGTTATAATAACAATATTCTTATAATATAAAATAATTATTTTATCTTTCGAATTTCTTATATTATTATAAAAAATGAAGAAATCGATGACTCCGAGTCGAAGACTCGGAGTGATCGATTTCTTCATTTTTTTTAAAAACAATTTTTATTTTAAAAATAAGTTATTGATGTTTTTGAATAATTTTGCAATTAAAGAAATTTGTAAATAAATATAATAGAACATTTTTTTTGAGTGAAATTAATTAAAATAATCAATAAATCATTTCATTGTCTGACAATACTTGACTTATACTACTTAAATTCAACAAATTATTTTATTATAAAAAATTGAGAATTAAAGTCTGACCAAAAACGTGCTTTTACTACTGAAATTGTGAAATTTTAAACTAGAAAAAAAATTTTACTACTAATATGGTAAAATAATGGAAATTATAAATTAAATGTTTAAATGTAAACTGGCTTTTACTAATGACGATAAAAATTACAAGAGAAAGAAATTTTGTCTGACAATAATTGGTTTACACTACTTATATTTAACCAATAATTTTATTAGAAATCGAGATTAGAAATTAATTTTTATTACTCAAATTTAATAAAATTAACAAAAAATCCTAACACTTGTCTGACTAAAATGTCAAATAACAAGGAAAAATACATATTGTCTGACAGAAATTGATTTATACTACTGATCTTCAACAAATTTTTAATTTATTACAAATCGAGAATATCAGTCTGGCCAAGTACGACCTTTTACTACTGAAACTAAAATTACTGCAATAATTATTCTTGTCTGTTCAGAAATTGACTGTCACTACTGATATTCAGTCAAAACATCACAATTTTTAAATATTTGTCTGACTGTAACGTTCTTTTACCACTAAAATTATAAGTAAAGAAAACAAGTAAAAATAATATTTACAGGGATTAAAATTATTTCTTTGGTTATTTTATATTACTAAAAATACACATTTATCTATTTCACTACTTACGAAATAATCTCGACATGAAATATATTTAACTCACCTGAAACAGAAAGAAAATGCATTATATTAGAATTATTATTTAGAAAATTAAAAAATTCTAACAAAAATAGTTTGACTAAAAATAAACAGATACTAGTCTGACTAAAACATATTTTCATCACTGAAATTTATCATAAATACGTGTCAAAATAAAAATCAAATAAAAGTAAATTAATAAAAGATTGAATGCCTGTTTGACTAAAATTGACATTTACTACTTAAACTAAAATTACTCGACGAAAATTTCGCCCGACTAATACTGAATTTTACTACTGTATAAAATAATAAATTAATTAATAATTGACAATTGGCACAGAATAATTAGTAGAAATTACTAAGAATCGTCCAATTTTAAGTTTCAACTGACTTTTACTACTGACGATAAAAATAACAAGGAGAAACTTTTTGTCTGAGTAAAAATTGACACCTACTACTTAATTAATTTTAAAATACAATAAACTTTAAAATAAATAATTAAAAAGTAGTAAATGTAAAAAAAATTCGTAGTTTGTAGATGAAATGAAAACGTAGAACATTTTTTCCATTTTTCATACTTTTTATATTTATTATATTTTCTACTAAAAGAGCAATTTTCCCATTAAAAAAAATAACTTTTTCTCTAATATTATTTTAAAAGATTAAAATTAAATATCAACATCAACGTTAATAATTACAATTTAAAAAAAAAAGAAAACATCGGAAATTTACACTCATTCACCGTTATAAAAGAGTGTCAACGCACATAATAATAATCACCTTCATAACACTTGTTAATAATCGAAAATTCACACTAATACTTCAATCTGACTCGCGGCAGTTTTTCGATTCAGTGAAAAACAGTGAAAATCATATATCCTGCCTTTTAGGGAATTGCTTTTAAAGTAATGATAAACAGCGGAACGCTTTTCACCAAAAACTTCCAATCCAGAAGCTGGATTTGTGCGAGCACTTTTTTTTTTTTTTTGCTTCCAATTCACACGTTTGCATTCGAAAGTTGATTGTCATATTTGTTTTACTTTATTGCTAAAGTACAATGGGCAGAGAAATGAATTATTATACACTGACAATGAGCAAAATAAAAGGAAAAAAAATATTTTTCATAGTTATATGTATATTATTGATTATATAGAGTGGAAAAAATAATTTTCTTCTTGTTGTGTTAGTATAATTTTCTGTTATTTCTATTGTAGTAATAAAAAAAGTAATATTTGTATATTGGAAATGATTCGGTGGAAAAAAAAATTCTTTTTCCACTAAATTTAATTGAAATGAAAGACTCGAAATGATGACTATGATATGTGTGTGTCTCAATAAAGTTAATTGAAATGTGTCATTCGAAGCGAACAGATGTTAACTTTTTTTCGTGGAACTCGATGGGAATAATTGTAAAAAAAATATCGAAGTGAAAAGTCATGATTTTTGTCGAATTACTTTTTGATGATTCTCTACCATTTTTTTTTTTTTTTTTTTATTGTCTCTTCTCCGCAGATGGAAATTTTTATCACAACATTTCTTTTAGAGTTTGTCGTTGAAAATTTATTTGTTACAAAAAATGTAGTAAGAAAAAATTCATTTTTAACAAAATTTGATAGCAAAAAATGTAGTAAAAAAATTCATTTTTAACAAAATTTGATAACAAAAAATGTTGTAAGAAAAAATTCATTTTTAACAAAATTTAATAACAAAAAATTTAGTGACAAAACATTTATTTTTCACAAAAAATTTAGTAACAAACAATCTAGAAGAAAAAAAATTCAGTAACAAAAAATTTATCTGTAACAAACAATTTAGAAACAACAAATTTATTTCTACCAAAAAATTTAGTAACGAAAAATTTATTTCTAACAAATAATTTAGTAACAACAAATTTATTTCCTAAATAAATTTACTAACAAAAAATTCAAGAACAAAAATATTATTTTTAAAAAACAATTTAGTAACAAAAAATTCAGGAACAAAACATTATTTGTAGCAAACAATTTAGTAACAAAAAATTCACTAACAAAAAATTTTTTTGTAACAAAAAATTTAGTAACAAGAACATAGTAACAAAAAATTTATTTATAACCATTAATTTAGAATCAAAAAGTTCATTTGTACCAAACAATTCAAAAACGAGAAATTTATTTTTCACAAAAAATTTAGTTACAAACAATCTAGTAGCAAAAAATTCAGTAACAAAATTTTATCTGTGACACAGAATTTAGAAACAACAAATTTAATTCTACCAAAAAGTGTATTAACGAAAAATTTATATCTAACAAAATTTATAACAATAAATTTATTAACGGAAAATTTGTTTCTAACAAACAATTAAGTAACAATAAATTTATTTCCTAAATAAATTTACTAACAAAAAATTCAAGAACACAAAGATTATTAGTAACAAACAATTTAGAAACAAAAAATTGAGGAAAAAAAATTTTATTTATAACAAACAATTAGGAACAACAAATTTAGTAACGGAAAATTTATTTTTAACACAGAATTTAGTAACAACAAATTTAGTACAGTAAAATTTATTTTTAACAATCAATTCGTTAATAAAATTTAGCAACAAAAAATTCAGTAATAAAAAATTTTTTTGTAACAAACGATTTCGTATCAAAATATTTATTTGGAACAAACAATTTAGTAACAATAACTTAGTAACTAAATGATTTAAAATTTATTACCAACAAAAAATTAAAAGACTAAAAATTTTTTTCCGACTTTAAAAGTAAGTGACTAAAAAATTATTTCCAACAAAAAATTGAATGACTAATAACAACAAAAAATTTAGTTAACAAAATTTTATTTCTAACAAACAAATTAATATAAAAAAATATTTTAGTAAAAATAATTTGTAACAAAAAAATAATTTGTACTAGCAATAAATTCTGTAACAAAAAATTTATTTGTAACAAATAAAATATTTGAATACAAAAATGTTTTTTGTTTCGTTTTACTTTTCTTCAAGTTTTACTTTTCTATTTAAGTAAATCTTTTTCCTTAGACGTGTAAAAATAATTTTTTTCGTTTGGTTTTTTTTTTGCAGGCAACACTGATGCGCCATTGTTGAGTCCACTGCTTTTGGGTTTGGCAGCGACTGCAACACTTTTGGCACTTGCCGTAGCCGTTTTTGTGGCAGCTTTATATCGGAAGCACTCTGGCGGCCGTGGAGGAAGTCCAAAGCACGCTCCTATCGTGTGTGAACCACCTAATGCAGGTTCAACTACTCCTGTACATTCTCAAACTAAACAAGCGGTCGAAGATATCGATCCTGACATTATACCCAACGAATATGGTGAGACTTGAAATAATTATACACTTGAAACATGAATTTCAGTTTTTTTTTCTCTTTTTAAAGTGCCCTTTTATGTAACAAAAAGTAATTTTTTTCACACACTTAAAGTGGTATTTAGCTTAGGAGAAAAAAATTTACTTCGGGAAATTTTTTTTCCTAATTTTCAAAGTAGATTCCGTTTTAAGTTTCATTTGAACGCCCAGCAAAGAAAAAAATGTAATTGACTTTTAGAGGCTAGTAAATTGTTTATTTTGGTTTAAATAGATTTTATTTGGTTTAAAATTCAAATAAATGTTTTTTGGTTCAAATTAATATTATTTGGTTCAAATAAATGTTGCTTGAATTAAATAAATTTTATTTGGTTCAAATAAATTTGGATTAATCAAAATATTTCTCTGGATGAAAAATAAATTTCTTTCTTATTCGATTTTTAATAATCTAATTTTTCTCAATTCCTATTTAAACGTAATTTAATTCGCTTCTTTTTATTTTTGAACATTATCAAAAAATATTTGATTATAATGAAATGAAATTAAAAATATTCCGTCTGCATTTTATGATAAGTAATAATAATGTAATTTTACTAGAATAAAATTAAATATAAAACGTTCTTTCTAATTTTATGTAGGAAAAAACTCACTCCACTGAAATGAAAAATAATTGATGATTTATGAATAATTTGAACTGCAAATGAAAATTTTTTTCTATTAATTTCTTTTCTTAGTGAATTATTTCTTTTTCTGAAATCGTTTAAATTCTAATTATATCATTGAAGTGTACTAATTTTTCAACTAGGTCTCGTTTTTTTTAATTATAATAAAAGTAAATTTAAAGAAACTAAATTATTTATTTAAGCCCGTACAGTGTTTAAATAAATAAATAAATAAGTAAACCAATAATAATAATAACAGCAATAAAAATTTGGAAAATTGTTATTTTTATAATTTTATAATTTTTATTTGTAAAAAATTATCTTTATTATAATAATTTAGTTTTATTATTAATATTTATTTTTATTATAAATATTTATTTTTACTATAAATTTTTTTTCCAAATTTAAAATAGGTAACAGAGAATAATAAATTTTTTTCTCCCAATTTCTATTTATTAACAAAAAAAGTCCACGCGGAAAAAATTTAATTACCGCGATGTTATAATTTTAACATTATTATTTTTACACTGAGACTAAAAATGAATTCATGATTTATTGAAGATTGCGAGAGCGTATCGCTAAAAGGAGAATACGCTTTTAAGAGTCGTTAAAACTTCTTTGTCAAATTAATAAAGAAACTGTTGTGTTAAGTATTTTATTAGATTACAAGAAGCCTTGTACAAAGAGGAAAAAAATTTCCCATTTTCTCCTGAAATAATTAAAATTAGAAAAGAGCAAAAAAAAAAAAAAAAATTTCCGAATTATTACAAATAGTATGTAAAATTTTAGTAATTAAAAATTGCAACTTAGAATTAAAAATTACTTTAAAATCAATTCCATCAAATATTAAAAGTCAGGAAGTTTTTTTTATTTTTTTTTAAAGGGGTGTAAAAAAAGTTTTGGCCGGAAATGATGAAAGAGTATATTTCTATGACAGGAAATACGTGATCGATTTTGTTTGATATGTTAAAGGGACGTTGGCTGTGAATTAAGGGGCAAGGGAGATTGTTTTTTTTTTTTTTAATTAAGTTAGTGACGTTAACTTTTAAAGGGCTTCGTAAAATCTGTTCGTAGAAAGAAGACCCTTAACGTATACCCCTGTCTGCAAGACACCGCCACAAAGACGGAGGAAGGATCGGACAACAGATGACGCTACCTCACCGGAGAAGAAGCCTATCGTCCGATCGACAATTGATCTTCAACAAGATCTAAGATTGGCCGATTCATCGCCAATGCCGACAATAAATTTCACTCACAATCATGTTCTTCAGCCAATTTTGTACAGTCAAACGCCAACAATGGCGGAATTTAAACAAATGGCAATGGACGCCTACAATCAACGTAACAATCATAATGTGAGTTTTCATTTTTATATTTTATTTTTTAATTATTATCTTATTGATGAATTATTTCTTTTTTTAATTATTATTTAATATTTATTTATTAATCAAATTTTTAATTTCATTTCAATTTCATTTTCATTTTCATTTTCATTTTCATTTTCATTTTCATTTTCATTTTCACGTTCACGTTCACGTTCACGTTCACGTTCACGTTCACGTTCACGTTCACGTTCACGTTCACGTTCACGTTCACATTCACTTTCACTTTCATTGGGAAAATGAAAATTAAAAGCAATAAAGAAAAGTAAAATTGAAAAATTGAAGGTTTTAGTTCCTTTTTAACATTTTTACTTTCATTTTCATTGTTAGCCAATTTCATTTCCAGGGATATTCATTTTCATTTCCACTCTTAGCGATTTTCATCTTCTTTTTAAAGGATATCTATTTTCATTTATACTTTTAGAAATTACTATTTTCACTTCAACTGCTTTTTATTTTTCACTTTGATAAATTTTTCAATTCCATTTACACTTTTATACAGTTAAAATAAAAATAAAAATAAGAAATAAATTCTGTCAAGGTGAATGACAAAGTAAAAATCAAAAGTATATTAAGTGAAAGTAACAATGAAAATTAATTAAAGTGAAAGTGAAAGTAAAAATGAAAAGCTGTGAAAGTGGAACTAAAAACGAAAGTGAAAATGAAATTCTGCTAAAGTGAAACTAAAACGAAAGTGAAAATTAAATTCTGTTAAATTGAAACTAAAAACGAAGCTGAAAATAAAAATATTTTAAAGTGAAAGTTAAAAACGAAAAGAAAATGAAAGTAAATTAAAAAATATATATAAAACTGAGAATGAAAATTTGCTAAAGGGAAAGTGTAACCCGAAAATTTGTCAAACGTGAAAGTAGAAATGAAAATGAAAATAAAACATAAAATTAAAAAAAGAAAATGAAACCGAAAAACTGGCAAAGTGAAAGTAAAAGTGAAAATAAAAATCATTCAAAGGGAAAGTAGAAACGCAAATGAAAGTAAAAGACAAAATAAAATTACAAAAAATAATGAAATTCATAAATAATTAAAAAATAAAAGTAAAATAAAAAAATATCAAGTAAAGGAAACGTAAGAGTTAAAGTAAAAATAGAAGTAAAAGTGTAAATGAAAATCGGTCAATGTGAAAGTAAAAACAAAATTCAATGACAAAATTAAATTACATGAAATAAAAAGAAAAAGTAAAAAAAATGATAGTGAAAATGAAAAACTTTCAAAGTGACAGTAAAAATTAGAATGAAAGTCTGGCAAAGTGAAAGTAAAGACGAAAAATGTAAATAAAAGACGAAATAAAATTACAAAAAATAATAAAATTTATAAAGAAATAAATATAAATAAAATAAAAGTAAAATAAAAAACTGTCAAGTAAAAGTGAAAATGAAAATCAGTCAAAGTGAAAGTAAAAACAAAATTTAATTAACAAAATTAAATTACGTAAAATAAAAAGAAAAATTTTTAAAATGATAGTGAAAATGAAAACCTTCTAGGTGACAGTAAAAGTTGAAAAGAAAATTTGGCAAAGTGAAAGTAAAGACGAAAATATAAATAAAAGAAGAAATTAAATTACAAAGAATAATCAAATTCATAAAGATATAAAAATAAAAAACTGTCAAGTAAAAGTGGAAGTAAAAGTGAAAATGAAAATTAGTCAAAGTGAAAGTAAAAACGAAATTCAATAACAATATTAAATTACATAAAATAAAAGTTAAAAGAAAAATTTATTTATTTATTTATTCATAAAATAAAATAGAAGTAAAATAAAAAACTGTCGAGTAAAAGTGATAGTAAAAATGAAATTCAATAATAATATTAAATTACATAAAATTAAAATTAAAAGTAATATTTATTTATTTATCCATAAAATAAAATAAAAAACTGTCGAGTAAAAGTGAAAGTAAAAGTGAAAATTAAAATCTGTTAAAGTAAAAGTAAAAACGAAAATGAAAATATAAAACAAAATGGAGTTAAAAATGTAATAAAATTCATAAATAAATAAAAAAATAAAGTAAAATCGATATAAAAAATGTCAAGTAAAAGTGAAAGTAAAAATGAAAGTTAATGTGAAAATAAAAGTGCAAATGAAAATCTATCAAAATGAAAATAAAACCGAAAATAAAAATAAAAGGGAAGTTAAATTATAGAAAATAATAAAATTCATAAATAAAAAAATAAAAGTAAAATAAAAAACTCAAATAAAAGTAAATGTAAATTTTCGAAAATAAAAGTGAAAATAAAAGTGAAAGTGAAGGTGAAAGTAAAAAATGAAAGTATACAAGTAAAAGTAAATGTGGAAATGAAAGTAAAAGTGAAAATGAAAGTAAAAGTGAAAATGAAAGTAAAAGTGAAAATGAATGTGAAAATTATAGTAAAAATGAAAAATGAATGTGAAAATGAAAGTAAAAGCGAAACTAAAATTAAAAATCTGTCAAGACAAAAGAAAAACTGAAAAAAATAAAACCCCACGAAATTATTCAATAAAAAAAGCAACATCAATTCTCCCAACTCAAGTAATTTCTAAACTCGTAAAAAAGTTTATCTGAAATAAATTGTAAATACTTAAAAGCTAAATGTCGAAAACAATTAACAAATAAAAGTAAGAGTAGGGTAATTAATGTTGTTCTTTGCAAAACGTATAGAAGGGCGGAGGAAGAGAGGAGAGGGGGGTCGAGGGGACGAACTTTAATGCACGACAAGACTTCCACTTTAACTTTTACGGCCCAGGGTTATCTATGCTTCTTCGGAGAGTTTAATTACCTCCAAGTTTTCCTCGATAATTCGAGAGGGCCAGTTTCGATGCGCGTGACACGACTCTGGGTCTTTCTCTCTCTTTTTTTCTACTGATATTCTCTCTTTTTACTTGGCCTGAGAGTTTCTTGAAATGCCTGAATAATTTAAATCGAAAATCCATTGAGAGAAAAAAAGAGAGAGCGAGAGAGAGAGAGAGAGAGAGAGACTTTTCTGACCATCGGTTATCTGGAATTCAACTTTTTCACTGGGTCTTCATGGAATCCTTCGATCCACTCACCAGTGGAGAGAAAAATTAATGAAGGCCAACGCTTCTGGGTATATAGCCAATCTTTTATAGTGTAGTTCAGATTTCTCATTATTCTTCTCACACTCATAGAAAACTTGTCCAAACAGCGGAAAATCGACAAAAATGGGGAGAAAAAAAATTGTACATTTTTTTTATCTCATAATAAGAGTTTCGTTAATTTTTTCTTTCAAATTATTTTTTTTTAGTCGAATATAATAATAATAATATTAAATAATAATAATAAATAAATAATTATTTATAAGTTAGTAAATAAATAATTATTTATAAGTTAGTAAATCAATTATTATTTATAAATTAGTAAATAAATAATTATTAATATGTAATTATTATAATAATGATTATTACGAAAATAATTATAATTAGAATAATTAAATAATAATTTTAGTGATAATAATTATTTTAATTACAGTAAAATTAATTAATAATAGTTTACCTTTTTTTATTTTGGAAAATTTTTTCCGGAAAGAAATGACTAATTACAGAAAAATTGTAAGCGAAAGAAAATGTTAATTATCACGATTTTTGTTTTTAATTTAGGTTTATTACAGTCTCCAAAGGAGCAAAGGAATCTCGTCACTGCAACAAAGGCCAGTTTCTTCGAGTCTCTCAGCACAGGGTAAAATTCATACCCCGGAAGTTGTGACGCGCTCGAATAGAATACAAGAAAGTTGTATATAAATCCTCGAAGACTGTCAGCATTTTTTTTCCCCTTTTATTTTCATTTTTTTTTTTGTACGAGGCCGAGCGTAAAAGATTTTGCAAAAAAAAAAAAGAATAAAATGAAAAAAGAAAGAAAGAAAAAAAATTAACAAAAGAAGAAAAGTCGTACAAGCGTTCTGTATAGAGAATTAAAAACAAAACTGTAATATCGACTGCCTCTGAACTACGAACTTTAAGCAGAAATTTATTAAAAAAAAATTCTTATACAAAAAATGACGAAAACTACAATAAAATGTGTAGTCTTCGTTTATTTGATGTACCAGTTTAAAGATGATTATGAAAAAAAACTAATTATCTCTTTTTACCGTTCATTGTGTACAAAACTAACAGAGTTTTATTCTAAGGCTCGATCGTTCTGACGTGAATAGAGACGGAAATTAGAAAAAAAAAATTTAATATTAGTACTTAAAAAATATATGTATTTTACTCTCCCTTTTTTTCTACAAAAATTTTATAATGTAATTTTTCATATAAAAGTTATAAATTAATATTAGAATAATTTCTACGTCTTGAAATTATTCTATTTAGTATTATTTCTATTTACTCTTTTTTTTTGCTATTGTATACTTTTTTTGTCTATATTATAAAAAAAAGGTGGAAAAGAAATCCAAATATTGAAAATTAATAGCTTTTGAACTAAATTGAAATAAAATTTTTTACACATTTATTTGATAAGAAAGCAGTGTGAAAACAACTGCTTGATTTCTAAAAGAAAATCAAACTGTTTGTAAATAAAAATATTATTTAGTCTAAGATTTTATCTACGTTATAAAAAAATAAGTCCTAAGTTATGCATTTTAAAAGCAAATAGGATATTTTTCATACTTAACGAATATTCGAAATTTTAATCTTAAGTTGACTTTTTCAAAAAAAAAGTTTTTTTCCTCGAAAACAAGTATTTTTTAAGAAAAAAATTTTTTTTCTTCTAAAAACAAGTATTTTTCACGAAAAAAAGATTTTTTCGTAAACATAAGTATTTTTTCCAAAATAAGTATTTTTTTCCAAATCGAAAATTTATTGTTTTTTCAAAAATTCGCGTTTTGATTCTTTTTATTTAAAAAAAAACGATTGTGATAAAATTGAGAATTTAAAAGAAATTATTTTCAGTGACAGTGAAAATCACTGGGCATTGTGATTGTTGATAATAATAATTATTGAATCGAGAAAAAAACTATTTGAAAAAATAATCCCATGGAAAATTAATTGAAAATTTCCCTCAATTTTTGGATGTTCAAATGAAGGAAATTATTTATTTTGTTTAAATTAAAATTCAAGTATAAAGAATGCAGTATTAAAAATTAAATTATAAATATAAAATGAGGTTAAAGGTTATAAGTTTTATTCATTTTTTTGGTATTTAATTCAGAGATGCGATTTTTGTAATTTTACTTTGATTTTCGAATCGATTGACTTTGTTATTAATTTTTTAATTTAATTTCACTTTGAGTTTTATTTTTTGACTTTGACATTAATTTTCACTTTCATTTTGATATTTATTTTGACTTTGACTTTGACTTTGACTTTGACTTTGACTTTGACTTTGACTTTGACTTTGACTTTGACTTTCACCTTTTGATTGTAATTTGACTTTAGCATTGATTTTCACATTCCGACTCTGATTTGATTTTCAAGTTAATTTTTTGTTTTGACGTTCAAAGTGAAAGTAAAGGTCAAATCAAAGTCGAAAAGTCAAAGTGAAAGTCAAACTCAAAGTCAAAAATTTAATGTCAAAGTCAAACTCGAATCCAAAGTGAAAGTAAAATTAGAAAATTATTAAAAATATCTCAAAAAATATTTCCTTTATTTGAATGTACAGATTTTTTCCGAAAATTTAAAAATCGAAATTGCGAAAAACAAGGGGGAGGGGAAATAAAAATAAAATAAAGACAATTTACGATAATTATGATTCTCCACAAAATTGTTCATTGTCTGATATCAACTAAAACTGATTTTCAGCAAACGTTCGCATCGAAATGATTGTACAGTGACACATTTTTTATTGTAAAGCGTTTTTCCCCCTCCCCTCCACCACCACTGACAGTTTTTTCCCCTTTTTCCAATTCCAGTGGCGAGTACACCAGTTCAACGATATTCTAATAACAATTTGTTTTTCCTGGGACTAGTTTATATATATATATACACACACACAAAGAAACAAACACACAGTACTATGAAACGAATATAATCGAACTGTCAATCGAATAAAAAATTGTCGACCCACTATCTTGACGATGACATTGGTTGACAACCTTTATAAAAAAAAACACACACAACCCTCGTCTCTGTTCACCTCAACGACGTTATCTTATAGATAAATATATATATAAATAAATATAAATATATAAATATTATAATATTTATATGAAATTAGTTTTTGTACAAAAATTTTATTGTAAATAAGTCTGACGATAATACTTATAAAAAATTAGGTGATAGTTACTAATGTCCGAATTTTTTCCTCGTAAAACACACAAACACACACACATACGTGAATTTCGATCAAAGAAAATAAAATTCATGTACGAATTTTCAAAGAAAAAAAAAAACAAACAGGAAAAAAAATTATATGAAATAAACACGAATTAATTTCGTCTGTTTTTTAATAAAAAAAAAATTAGTTGTCTTTATTTGTAGTGTTAGAAAAAAAAATTGAATGTGAGGGGGTTTAAAAAAAAGAGAAAAAAAAATAAGACAGCGGGAAAAGGAATGCTCTGAAATTCTTGTTGTACGTGACACGAATCTCTTTGAGAGGCTACTTTATCGATTACCAACTCTATTTTACGATATATAGAGATTCCATGGACCTGTCTGGCTTATTCCCTTGCATGCTATCTATATTTACTAGATTCTTTTTTTTCCTCCATTTTTCTCTTTTCTCGAGAATTTTTCTTCTATTTTTCATATAAACGCCTTTTTTCTAGTTATGATATCAACTTTTTTTTTTTTATAAAAATAATTTTTTTATATAGATTACTTTTTGTTATAATATTTTTAAATATATTATTTTTTATCTATAGTATTTTTCATCTTTAGTATTTTTTATAAAATTTTATATACCTATGTTTATATATATTTTTTCTTTTAAATAAATTTATGTAGAAAATAAATTGCTAGGTTCAATGATTTTTTGTAGCTTTTCAAAAGAGAGTAGAAAAAAAATTTTATTTAATAATAATTTAAAATTATTGATAATTTATTTATAAATATTATGATTTTTCTCTAATAATAATGCCCCCAGTTTTTGGCCTTATGGAGAAAGAAAGGTAAGAAAATTTTGTATTTTTAATTAATTTTTATCTCAATAATATTTAATTTATAAGTATAATTATTTTTAATTTATTTTTAGTTTATTTATTATTTATTACAATTTATTATTATTTAATATTGTTTATTATTATTTATTACTATTTATTACTATTTATTATTATTTATTATTATTGTTTCTTTGTTCTGTATTTATTATTTATTACAAATAGTTACTATTTATTTATTATTTATTTATTATGTATTTAATACATTTAAAGCACTGTGTAAGTTTTCAGTAGTACAAGTCAATGTAATTATTTATTATTTATTTTTTTATTTCTTTAAAATAATAAAAACATCATTTATTATTATTGTAATTATATTTAACTTACATTTACTTATATTCTTCTACTATAATTTATTAGAATAAAGTGGATAGCACAATTTTATTACAACACTTTTTTTGTTTTCAGTAGTACAAGTCAATGTTCTTATTTATTGTTTATTATTTTATTTATTACGATAACTATATTTAACTGAAATTCAAAAAAATGTAATTTCTTTTCAGCAATTTATTATTTATTTAAATAAAGAAAAAAAGAAAAAGCCGTATATTTAGTTTTCAGTAGTACAAGTCAATGTTATTGTTCATTGTTTATCAGTTTATTTATTATTATAATTGAATTAAACTTAAATATTTCAAAATCCATTTTTTACTCGAATTTATTAAAATATAGTGAATAGTACATTTTCTAATAAAAGGAAAAGTACTTTTTAAAGGAATAAGTACATTTAAGGGAATAGTAAAAAAAGAAAAAGCCCCTTTTCAATTTTCAGTAGTACAAGTCAACGTTAATCAGACGAATATTGATAATTACATTAAATAAACGATAAAGTGAATAAAATAATAAAAATCTCTTTGTCAAATGAATTTGATTAATTTGAAAATAAGAAGAAATTGAAGAAAATCAAATTATACAAAAAATTCGATAAGTACAGAAACTATTAAAATTTCCAGTAGTATAAGTCAATGTTACGATTGATTAGTTTTTTTTTTAATTATTATGATAATTATATTAAACTAAAATTTTTAAAAATTGTATTTTTCACTCATATTTATTAAAGTAAAACGAGGATAGTTCATTTAAAAAAGCCCTTTTTCAATTTTCAGTAGTATAAGTCAACGTTAATCAGACGAACATTGATAATTCCATTAAATACCTAAGCAAAATAAAGTAAATAAAATACTTAAAATCTCTTTGTTAAATGAATTTGAAAATAAAAAGTAAGTGAAGAAAATCAGATTCTACAAAAAATTCGATAAATGCAGAAACTATTAAAATTTTCAGTAGTAAATGTCAGTATTAGTCAGACGAGTTTCGATAACTATACATATAATGAGATTATTGACGTTTTTAATAAACCAAAAGGGGATTAATTATTATTATAGAAAAATTTCAAGGTTTATTAGAAAATTTTTGAGAAAAAGGAAAAAATTCCACAAGTAAAAGTCGACTATCGAAGTAAAAATGAACTGCAAAAAGAAGTACAAAAACGTAACTTTTAGTATTCGCTGTGTGTAAAATTTTACTCTTAAATTAAATTTTTTTTAAAAATATTTTACAGTTAAAAGTTTTTAATTTTTTTTAGTAAAAGTATAAATTTCCTTTTGAATTTATATTTGATTTACATTAAAATTCGATTTATTTTCAATTTTCTTTATATAAAGAGATGATAAGAAATCACATCAGAATTAGTTCATTTTTTTTATTTTTACTTTTATTTTTTTAAATCTTTTTACAGTTTTTTTTTACTCTTTTAATTATTTTTCACTCTTTACACTGTATTTTACTATTTATTGATAGGAGCTTAATTATTGCCCTAGGGTAATAATGGGTTCTTTATTGCCTTAGGGCAATAATCTGTACTTTTTTTTCCTGGGGTGATAATCGGTTCTTTATTGCCCTAGGTCAATAATATTTCTTTTTAGTTTAATTTTTCGAATTTTTTTAATAAAAAGCACAAATTTCCTTTCGAATTTATATTTCTTTTACATTTAAATTTCCAATAGAAATTATTATTTTCAGTAAACATTTTTCGAAAGAAATTTAAATTGAGATAAAAATTCACTGTGTGTAAAATTTTACTCTTAAATTTAAAAATTTTCTTAAAATATTTAATAGTTAAAAGTTTTTAATTTATTTTTTAAATAAAAGTCATAAATTTTCT